TGCGCCAGAAAACGGGGAGGAGGGTGGGTAAACTTGATTTCCGATGGAGATGTTTTGCAGCCAATGTGCAGAGCAGAATGAACCGATCCCGCATTCTACTTCAACTAAATACAGTGAACTCCTATCCGTTTTCCCGCGCATTACAATCATGTGATTAAAAAATTCCCGGGAAAATCCCAGTAGATTTCTATCTATTCATATAGTTCAAGTGCAGGAAGCAATAAAATCTTTATTGGTATGCCAATAATTCCTATTCTATAAGGCTAGAGGGATGTTAACGAACTACTTAAGTTTGTTGTTTAAGAATGTTAAGAAACGTAGTGAATTTCGTCAAGTTCAACATTAACATTATTCGTTCTATATAAGGATTTTTGGCATCTCCCTCGAAATAATTAATTGTTGAAGGGATTTTAGATGGAAATTTTCGAGTGGAATTTTTATACATTTTTACACCTACCATGCATGCAGGACCAGTTGCGAAAATGCAACTATCGACCCTTTTCCGGCCCCGTCATTCCGATGAAACGCTCTAACCAACTGAGTTACCAAGTCCAGTTGTCGAGCTCTAACACCAAGTTTGTACCGGCTTCAACAATTAGTGATGTCGAGTCAAGTGAGATGCCCAATATCCTGATATTTACCCATTACACTATACACTAGCCTGCTCACAGACGTTGTAGATCTTGAGCAGGCTAACTATACACTGGCATCACAATTAGTATTTATGCTTAAATTTGACAATTGTCTTTCTGCAGGGCTGGATAGCAGGTTCTGTTTTATTCTTCGGGGAAAGGATTCTTGACAAAATTCCCTCAAACCTTTGCCAAACAAACCTTTTCCGCCGTCTTTCTTCTCAACCATGGACCCTCAAGAAATGGTTCATGGTTGAGTACCCAATCAGAATGTTGGATTTGTAATGGTCAATGGTGGAGTGTTTACTAATTATGCGTAGATATATTCGTTCTTTTAATTACTATAAGCTGTAGCTATGGCGTGCCAAGATGGACAATATTACTTTACGTCCATTTATATAATGTATATTTCAAATATATAATTTCAAATCTATATTTGTAAGCCGAAATTGCAATATATAAAACGAAACAGAAATATATACAACGAAACAGAAATATATACAACGAAACAGAAATATATAAAATGAAACACTCATATATAAATCGAAACACCCATATATAAAACGACATTAGTATATATATATATATAACGAAATATTCCAAAATATATGAAACGAATTTTCCCAAATATATAAAACGAAATTCGTCAAATATATAAAACCAAATTCCTCAAATATATAAAACGACATTTTACTAAAATAAAACGACATTTTTGGCGGAGAAAGAGCGCGCTAAATTATCCGGAGTAAATGTTCTGTAAACCGCGCTTATGCAAATATGGCGAGCAACAGAAAGCTGCAAAGTTTACCAAATCCTGTCAAAGCAATTTCTCGATTGAGTCAAAATAACACAGAGACCCGTAATAGTGGGGAGACGCAAGAAACTACAGACGACGTGGAAGCAACGATACGAACGCTCTTTCCTTCAACGAATGGTCAGACAGAAGCAAACCGAAATGAAATTCGTGTGGTCGCGGAACATGACACCCTGATTTCATCAGGCCCCCACTTCTCGCACATCGGTAGGTGCTGCTGCAGCGTCCGCAACCACACAACGCATAGAGTTAATTTATACAGTTTATGCCTTCTGCATTATTTTGTAATGGGTCATTCCAGAAAAGATCCATACCCCCCTACGGAGGAAATCGAAAATAACCCCCTCCCCCCTTCGGACATCCTTGAATGGTTCATCCTCCCACCCTCTCCGGACATCAAAGCCCAAAATTACCCCCCTCCCCTTCGGACATCCACTATTTCTAAATTTTTCTAAAGGCTACCTCGCCGTTTGAAAACGTCACCGAAAATTAGACTACGTTCACACTACGCGCGAGCGAACTAATGCGGGCAGAATTTACGTGTGTTCACACTACCGCCATTACAGTTTGTTTACAAATTGAATTAGCACTCGTGTAAACCCAAAATATTTCAAATAGACACAAGAAATTTAACTGAAAAGCATTCGAGTTTACACGTTTGTGTTCACACGAAGCTATCAAGCGCTCCGCCGTTTTCACCTCGCTCCGTTTAGAAACCGTGCTCAAATATGTTACGGCAAAAGTGACGTGAAAGTTTTCAAACGATTTCGCTCCAGCGTAGAGTGAATTAGCGATGGCTTATTGTGACTTTTCTACGGTGTTTTCAAATAGCTCCGGCGTGGCGGAACACTTGTCGGCTTCTTGTGACTTGCGAACACAAACACGTGGCAGGTTTTGTCGGATAATTTGCAGAAATTCACTTCGAAATTTGTTCAAGTAAAACTCGGACTGAAATTCGATGTAACTTGCGACTGATTGACAAGCGTTGCTATGTTTACTTACATGTTAATGCATTTTTTAGTATTACTGCATTCCTTAACCTCGCCCTTAACATTTTCGCATTTCTATTTTCTAGACACGCACCTCGAAAAGGAAGCTTTATTGACTATATACTAAAACAAATTGTTTTGGTTCAGTTCACATAGCAGTCTATTAATTCGAGCAACAGTTTAATAACTATTATTTTTAACACTTGAATAATTCAAACTTATATATACGAACGAAAACTGCAAACTTTACTTTTATATAAATAACGCGTGTCAATTTTTGACTCATTCTCAACATGCAGGATACGCTGTTACAGCGAGTTAGTTTTTGGTGGCCATGCATGCAAAAGTGGGCCGCTTATTTTGCATTGCGTGCTCATTATAATCGCCGATCACATAGCTTTATCACAGTCTCAAACCTTCAGACAAACATATCCACATTCCTCTCCCCCCCCCCCCCCC